ACCAGGGCTGCTCCCTGTTCTGGACCATGTGCTGCCTGTTTCTGCTGCCGCTCCCCTGGCTTGATTTCCTGGCATCTGATTTGTGGTTGTGATCACAAGTTTGTCTTTTGCTTCTGATCTTCCAGTATCCTGACCCAGCTGACTCTCAACTCCTGTCATGTGAGTGTGGACTCTGGCTCTGACCAGTAGGTCTGGCTGCCCTTGACCCAGCCGTGACATTGACTTTTGTACAATTTCTCCAATGCCCTTTTCTGCTCTCCAGCAAGATACACCAGTACCTTGGCTCCCAAAGTCCTAGTTGCTTGCTATTCAAGGGCTGAGGGTTAGTGCTTGTATTGCCCCCACCCAGGGCTGGCTCCAGGGTTTTTGCCGCTCCAAGCAGCAAAAAAAAAAAAAAGACTGTGATCACGATCGGCAGCAGCTCCACCGCACCGCTTTCTTCTTCGGCGGCAATTCGGCGGCAGGTCCTTCCCTCCGAGAGGGACAGGGACCCTCCACTGAATTGCTGCCGAAGAGCCCGACGTGCTGCCCCTTTCCATTGGCCGCCCCAAGCACCTGCTTGCTCAGCTGGTGCCTGGAGCCGGCCCTGATCAGCTCCCATCTGGTGTTCAGCTCCAAGATGGATGGGGAGCCCTAGTCAGACCACAGAAAGACTGGATGGTGTGCTTTGGTGAAAACTGCTGGAGCTTCAGGCTCTGCTCCCACCTCTAACAATAAGGGCTTCAAAATTGGTCCCTGATCCCAGGTAAACACAGTAGCTGAGCTGAGGCCAGGGTGGGTGGAATTACTGCTGGGACTGATCCTAAGAGAAGAGCACATTTCTCCTCTGCTCTAGGGAGATTCCCATAGGAAAAGCCGCTGGGCTGGGGGTGGGGGAAATACAAGCACTACCCCTCTCACCCTTGAATAGCCGGCAACTAGGACTTTGGGAGGCAAGGTACTGGTGTATCTTGCTGGAGAGCAGAAAAGGGCATTGGAGAAATTGTACAAAAGTCAATGTCACAGCTGGGTCAAGGGCAGCCAGACCTACTGGTCAGAGCCAGAGTCCACACTCACATGACAGGAGTCGAGAGTCAGCTCGGTCAGGATACTGGAAGATCAGAAGCAAAAGAAACTTGTGATCACAATGTGGTGTTTAGATGCTGCTTGTAATTATTAGAACTGGGAGCACTGGCTGTTGGGGGGTCTGAAAGGACAGGAAACAGGAAGGAGGGGGCGGAGTTGAGGAGGCTGGGAGAGTTACAGAGGGTGCAGCTTCAGCTTGGAGAAGAGACTTGCACTGTAAATAAAGTTCTGTTGAAGTTCTTAATACTTTGCCTGGTGGATAAAACATTGTGGCGATGAGGATGGATCTTCTGCCTCTGAGCCCACCTGCCCCCTTTCTGCAAAGCCCAGGTGAGCCTCCAATTGCTTTTACTGCCTGGATCCGTATGTTGGAGGCGTATCTGCTTACAATCAGTGCTACAGAGATTTCTGAAGT